GTTAAATATAGAGGAAAGGAAATGGTTTATTATTATTATATTATTATTATTATTATTATTATTATTATTATTATTATATTATTGAAAATTTTGTTTAGATGTAATTAAATAAGGATATATAAAATAATTCTTCTATGAAATGTGAAACTGATTAATTAACTAGTCAGTTCCTCGTACATCTTAATAAAAACACGGGAAATGTTGTATATTTATTTATGTATAATATAATTTTTCAAAATGTAAGTTTTAATTTAAAAATATTAAAAGTATAATTACTTCGCTAACATCAATGAAAATGATTGCCCGTGTTTGCATACAAAAGCTTCCACACGAGTTGTACACAACACAAACGCCATGCCCCACTTTTATGAGAAATTTCTAGGATTTTACTTTTTAGAGTACGGATAACGGATGGATGCATCCGCATAACATAAATTGGTCAAAGCACAAATCTTTTCTTCATTATTAAAGAAATGCCTTTGTTGTAATTTTATTAGTGGCACGGGGTCGAGAAATTTTTCTACAAAGTCAACAGTCCTACACTTGATAGCAAAATAAAATTTTGTCACCAAAATGCACCCAAGGGCTAGTGTACCTTACATTTTTAATAGTTGTTAAAATGATAAAGAGTGAAATTATATTAAATAATTAAATTCTCAATTAATTTATAGGTGATGGAATCTACCAAATAATCCCGATTAAAATAAAAGTAATCGGTTCTCTTTGGATCTTCGAACCTCGTCTGACCTTCTCGTTCGAGTACTTGAAAAAGAATCAGGAGGCATCCTGACGTTGAGCTTCAGACGATCAAGTAAATCTAGTGGTCTATAATATATGTATAGTAATTCATAAAATGTAATAAATAGTGACGATCATACATTTGCCTTTATATGAAATAGTTACTTTATCCCACAAGAATTCTATTCTTCCAAATGAACTAGATATTCACATACCTTCTTGAGCTCTTTTCAGATTTTTAAATCCTTATGGCATGATTGGTATAATGGAATGGAAATTCGTAGGAATGAAACGAATTGAAAAATGGAATGATTATGGGAATGGAATGAAACAAGTTTTGTCATTGATGCGTTTGGTATGCAGAAGAAATTAAATAAGACCTGAATGGAATGACATTATCATTTTTGTTATAAAAATAAATAAAAGCTTATTTTAACAAATAATATAATTCTAATAAATTATATATAAATGCTTTTTTAATAATATATAAAAATAAAATAATATATTTTTAATAATATGTAAAGAATTGTGTATTCCTATACATATTAATTAATGCCGAATATAATTTTTTATATTATAATTCAATTTATGAATAAATATATAACAAATATGATGAATAAAAATAAAATAATATATTTTTAAATTGTATATAAATGCTTTTTTTTAGTTTTATTTTTATATAAGTATTTAATATATCTAATTAAACAATAAATAAAAATAAGTTTTCAATTTTTTATTTGAATTTTAATTTTTAAAATAATTTTATTTAATATATTTTAATCTTGATTTATAATATATATATATATATATATTATATTATTTGTTATTTATTTTTTGAAAAATTGATTCCTACACACATGGGAATGAAAAAAAACCTTCCATTAACTATGGAATGACTAATCCCATGGAGATGGGTTTTGCCATTCTCATTGGAATGGTCATTCCTTTCCAAAAAATATATCAATAATTGAATAAAGAATAAGTAAGGGAATGATCATTTCATTCCCATGTCATTTCTTCCTACCAATCATATTTATATTAGACGTCCCACGATCAACGTCTGTATCAGTTCACTATGTTGGCTTCCCAATCGAGGTATTACCCTTTAATCCTGGCGCATTTTTTTATTACCAACTCGCTAATCGAGTATTTAGGTTTCACCTTCATGATTTTGCCTTTTTATCATAGACTAAGAAAAAACAAAAATTTGTCCAAGCTGTTTGTAAAAAACTCAAAATGGAAAATATGTGGCTTTATGTCAACCCTGTGAAGGATGTTACTTTGTTGGTCTAGTAACATTTTCATTTTGTATATAAATTACCTAGACTTTTGTATGGAAGTTCAATTTACCTGGAAAAGTTGTAGGGTGAAACAGTGGGTTGCGAGTGTTTATGCCAACAATAACCTTGTAGAAATACTTTTTCAATGGGGTACCCTACTTAGATATAGCTTGAGATGGGGAAATCTCATTTTATTTTTCTTGGGTGGGGGGTGGAGGTGTGTGTTTTAATGACATTTTGTGTAATTCAGAGAAAAATGGGGGAGTGATGAGGGAAGAATCTAGCTTTGCTAGTTTAAAGGGGGTTGGTGAGAGACTTGGAGTGGTGGAGAAAAAAATTTAGGGTTTCATTTCACTTGGAAGAGCAATAGACAGGGGAAAGATTTTGTTGAGGTAAAGCTAGATAGATTTTTACTTTCTCCTGACTGGAACCTTTTGCAGCCAAATTCTCAGTTTAAGTACATTTCTTTAATATCATCTGAACATAGTATGATAGTCTTGGATACTAGTTTTTCCTGTGAGGCCAAAAAAAAATCTTTTGATGCTTGATGGGTCAAGATTGAGGGGTATCGGGAAGTAGTGGATAGAGCTTGGAACAATCCTATTCAAGGGCTTGAGTTGTTTAGTTTTCATACAAGGATCAAAAATGTGACGGTATCTTTGCTTAATCAGAAGGCTGACAAAGAAAACTAATTCTTCCATCATAATTGCCAACTGTAAACAAAAATTGAAGTTGTTAGAGCAACATGTGACCCTTAGATATTGAAACGAGTGGAAATTTTAAAAGAAGAACTCCATGTAGTTTATAAAAATGAAGAAATCTTCTGGAGGCAAAAATCTAAGGTGAATTGGCTTAAACAAGGGGGATAGAAATTCTAATTTCTTTCAGGAAAGTGTGAAACGTAGAAAAAAGGTCAATTGCTGAGATAATCTCATTGAGGCAGATAGGAGCATGTGTCAGAATAATGTGGAGACTTTAGCTGAGCTTTTGACTTATTTTAAGAACATTTTTAGAACTTCTAATCCTCAAGAGCAGAATTACAATCTAGATGGGATCCCAGTTTCGATTATTGAGAAAATGAACTTGAGGTTAGTGACGGAGATGAGACCGCCATAGCATATTTGAATAAATATGATCGCCTCCGAATTTAGCTTATTTATATCTTATTATTTTTCCTTTTCGTATTTTGTTTCTTTCCTTAGGTAGTTAATTTGATTGGTAGGGAAATAATTATCTTGCAGCTTGTTAGGCAATATATGGGTAGGAATAGGACTCTTGTTTAATTATCTGCCTTGGAAAAAGAAGGAACGCCGCTTTTGATGAAAAAATATATCTGATCAGTAAAATCCTTCGAGAGAGTATCTCGTGTTCTTCTCATTCGTATTACGTTCTACATCAGATAGTATCCAAAGACCAGCGACGATCCACGATGCCGCCTAAGAGAGGAAACGCCATCAACGGCAACATCATTGATGAACGATTCCAACGAATGGATGATCGAATTCAAGGGATGGATGATCGATTCATGGACCTCTCTACGGGAATCGAGGAATTGCGCCAGGCGATGCGTACCATGATGAAGGAGGTCCGTACGAACCGCAACGTCGGCAGTCGGGCGCACGCGGAGGGTTTCGCGGGGGGCGTGGCTTTGGCGGGGCGCCCCGCCGGCATTCACCACTGACTCTGTCCGGTGACGAGGAGGTCGACGAAACCATTAGCGTGGACAATCCATTCGCTCCTGTTCAGCGATGCCGCCCCGCAGGCGAAGAGTTCGTCAAGCAGGGATTCCACGGCAGAGGGCGTGTTCCACGCGGGTTCGGTAGCGGCGATATTAGACGTCACGAGAGCTTAGGTTTTGGTGATGACGGAGCACATGGCGATCGCAACTTCGTGGGCGGCGATAACCGACGTCACGAGCATGGAGTTCCCCGTGGAGGTGCAGAGTCAGATGCAGCAGACGATTGGCATAATGATGACTTTGTCGGACCTCCACGACGTAGCTGGTGTTCCAATATGACGACCAACTTCCGCCAGCAGCCTCCAGTGCACGCGACGGGTTTCAGAGGGATGACCGGGACCGATGCAACGGCAGGCGGGCCCGATAGAAGGGGGACGACGAGTCGCATTGAGAACAAGGGTTTCGGGTTGAGATTCCTGAATTTGATGTGGGAGTTGGGTCGGAGTTTCTCGATTGGTAGGTTGCGGTTGAGGCCGTCCTCGTCTTTAAGAAGGTCCCACGGGAGAAGCGTGTCGCTCTAGTCGCCACACGATTCAGGGGTCGGGCAACGACGTGGTGGATGCTGTTGGGATCTATGAGGATCTCGTTATGTACAAGTCACAAATTCAATAACAAATGTAAACCTTTACACAGCGGATCTAAAGGTTTGACGTACAAAACTTACGTCTTAAAATTTTCTGAATCTGACGGATTCGGGATGACCGGGAACAACACGTTGGAAGTCGGGAACACGAACGGAGGTCGGGGTCGTCAGCTTGGGCTCGCGGTGGTGCTGCGGTGGCTCGCCGGTGGCGTCTCGGGGATGGCCGAGTTGCACGGGGTCGTCGCGGTGGCTGGCCGGTCTCGTCGCGGCAGTTGGCGGTCGTGGGCTCACGTTGGCAGTCCAGTGCTCACGACGGTCGGCGATCACTTCTTCCGGGTTTGATGAATTTATTTGTCTCGGTTACCTCAGGATCTTCTACTGTATTCCTCAAACACCTCTTCAACTTGTACCGGTGGAGCAACAAGAAGAAGATAAAGTTCGAATGAAATTCTAGATAGAGAAGAGAGAGAGAGAGAGAGAGACGAGGGTTACCCTACAAATAGAAACGAGGTCACTACAAATAATTAAAACAGAAATACTACAATTAGAAGAGAGAGAGAGAGAGAGCGAGAGAGAGAGAGAGAGAGAGACGAGGATAACCCTACGTACTCAACATTCGCCAGGGCTGGAATACACAAAAACACCCCCATTGAATGAGGTCACTCCCAGAAATACTAAATTTCACACCTATACAGAAATCAAAACAGAAATAATCTAAGATAGTAACCTGACTAGCCCAGCACATCAAAAGACCACCCCTAGAACCTGTTGGCTTACTGAACAACCATCTATTATCCATTTTCAGTTTTTTACACATAGAGGAAACAAATTTTTCTTTTTTCTTAACTTCAGAAATAAAAGTAATAGCAGGGAGGTGAGCTCTGAGAGCTTCTCGCAATTGGAAAATTGTAGAGGGTCCTCCCAAACCTCTACAATTCCACACACATACTTTTACTTTGAGGTTTGAATCAGTTAGGGCTGGTCTCCTCAAATTTTAGTGATGTCAGCCGAGGGGAGCCCATACTTCAATGAATTGATTTACCAACAAATTAGAAATGAGGGCCTTAGGAATTTTGAAATTATCCTTAATTAAAAATCTCTTCTCAAACTTAGTATAATTTAAATGAGGATTTTTAAACTTATACAATTCTAAATTAATCTCATGCATATAGCAATCATTAATTAACATGCATAATTATTCATGCAAATAAATTAATCTCATGCATAAAGCAATAATTAATTTCCTGCATAAATAATAAATAAATAATTAACATAATAAATTTAAATAAGTAAATCTACTATTATGGTCATTAATTATTGAGTCTCCTTAAACAAGGAAACTTTATCATATTCTTTCCTTATCCAACTAGAACGCCCACTGCAGTAGAATCCTGATAGATATTGTACTGCTTGTCCAACAAGAAAACCACCTGCCACCAGCAGCCATCTGCCGCCGCCGTCGCCGCCAGTCCGGTGGAAACTCGTCGGAAATTTTTTTTTCTTGCCACATGAGCCATCTGACCGGGTCCTCCGGGACCCGCGATCGCCGTCGCCACCTCCGTCTGGCCCGCCCGCGGCTCCGGCGGCAAAGCTGCCAGCCGCGCAGGCCGCAGTGATCCACCAGTGGTCGCTCGGGCCCGATTCCGATCAGGTCTTCAAGGTTCGTTGATCCTTTGTGATCTCCCGGTTATCAACACACGATCACAACACGAAAAATATAATATACAATTACATAATTCGATCCTAGATCCAGCGAATGGATGTACATGTTTTCTAAACAAATAATTAAATCTATCCGGTCAACTCCCGGTCAAATAATTATTACAAATATTCATCCAATAAATTCCTCGACATGTTCGAGGTTTTAAAAACAAATTAAAACCAATTCATCAAACACATATACGGCCATAATAGTGGATTAAACTAATTTCTGCAAAACCAAGTTATGCGAATATAATCCAATATATATGGCTGCGTTTGAACATATCTTGTCAAATAAAACTGTAAAAGTTTGAACTTTGTACAAAACGAATTAACCAAGTGCTCTCATACCACTTGTTGGGATTTATGAGGATCTCGTTATGTACAAGTCACGAATTCAATAGAAAACGTAAGTCTATGCGCAGCGGATCTAAAAGTTTGACGTAGAAAACTTACGGCTTAAAATTTTCTAAATCTGACGGATTCTGGATGACCGGGAACAACACGTCGAAATCCGAGAACACGAACGGAGGTCGGGGTCGGCGGCTCGGGCTCGCGGTAGTGCTGCGATGGCTTGCCGGTGGCGTCACGGGGCTGGCCAGGTCGTCGGCTCGGGCTCGGATTTTTGAGGAGAAAAACGTGTATACGGGAGTAAATATGCTACTAGTTTCCGATCGCAAAAGAAAGGGGAGATAAATATATATGTTGATGATTTTGATTGGAGAGATAATGGTCAAGTGTTTCCTAATTTCTTGACTCTTAGGGGAGTTGATTTGTGTGGGGAAAGGGTCACTAGCTGGAAAATAATCGGCTGGACAAAATATACTCCACAACTTACCAAAAATTTACCAAATAAATAAAATTGGTCTAAGGCAAAAATAAGGATTTATAATTCTTAACTTGGAACCAAAGAAAAAATATAAAAAGGGCCAGTTTATGGAGATTGTACGGGGTATAGACCGAACAATCAGAACTAAAATCCTACAAATGGTCTATTCAGGTTCGTGCCAGTGAAGATGAAAGAACGACAGAAAACGGACCGAATATGAAAGTTGAACGAACAGACGAGGGGTTGAGTGTTCGACTAGCATTCATCATTACTGGAAATTATCCGTACGATACACATTAAATGCTGAGGGATTCGGCAATCATCTATCTAATAGTGCTCAACAAGCAGGGGCACGTGTCGCAGCCCGGTTCCATCATTTACATTGAGATTAGATTATGTAGTACAAAGCATTAAATGTGGTGTGACTAAATTATGTGGTGTATTTGGATATGCAATTAAATAATATGCGTAAGTGTTTCGCATACTTGTTAACTATGTGGTGTATTTGAATATGTGAGTCGTAAAATATGCGAAAAAATATCGCATAGTGATAAATGTGGGTATCAATTTGGATATGTGATTATTATATATTACGAAATAACTTTGCATATCAATATGCGGTGAATTTGGATATACGATTATTAAATATGCTATTACTTTTCGCATAATTATTAACTATACGTCCAATTTGGTTATGCATTGGTATATATACGAAAAACTATCGCATAATTATTAGTTATGTGGTTCATTTGAATATGCGATTGTTATATTGCATATGATGTCGAGAATAAGATAATTAGAATTTAGAACTATAGACAGGTTGAATCGAAAAAGAGGTTGAGCTTCACCGTTCGTTGTCGATCGGAGCCCAAACTTCCAGTCTCCGACGTACTCCAAGATGGAGACTCTAGCCGCGAATGTACGGGTTGCAATCCTATGGCCCGGTCTATTGTCGCCGCTTGTCGGCTCCACACAGAGGTCGTCGATGTCCCGGTCTGCCGCTGCTGCTATCATGATAAATGGCCAAAAAATATTTTTCGTATACGTTACATTTATACTCTGTATATTTTCAGTATATGTTGCGTTTTTTTTTACATAACATTATCGAACAACAATTGTGATGTTCGGATTTTGTTTATACTTTTTTATATTTTTAATATTTTTCACTTAATTTTATACAAAAAATCTGTACAACATTGATATGGAAAAATATTTTATAAGTGCTCTGAGGATGTAAAAAAAGTTAGGGCAAATTTCTTTTACACCTCAATAGCTACATGCACTTTCTTTTACACACTGTACCATAAAAAAACTTCTTTTTCACCCTTGGGCAGCATCGAGGACTAATGTCCCAGAGATCGTAGATGTGATTCACATATTTTTCTTTTTTTTAGTGAACAATTTAAATTTGTTGGAAAAAGGGAGATGAAAAAGAGATATGTGATAGATAATATTTAATAATTAGTATTTATCTAAATATCTAGGTCATGTAGATGTGCAAATTAGATTTTTATTCAATATCTTTCCAATTATTTAGCAATCAATTAAGGTAGATGTGCAAATTAGATTCTTATTTAGTATCTTTACAATTATTTAATTAAGGTTAGGCCAATTTACACATATACTTAACTAATTGCTAAATAATTGTAAAGATACTAAATAAAAATCTAATTTGCATGATAGTCGCTAATTGGGAATTTATCAATTTGCATGGTAGTCGCTGTTTACTCAACCCAACTTCACATTATTATCTCCGGACCACCCAATCAATCCAACCACCATAAATTGGAACTTGAATTAAAAATGCTTAGCTCAACCAAGCTACCTATTGCAGTATGTGTACCCGTCAGAAAAGTCAGAACGACATTTAGGCGGCAACATTACAATTTCACAAGTATTGACAGGAAAAAGAAAGATCCCGTAAGGTTCGCTATAGCATAACTCATTTAGGTTTAGCATCTCTGGAGAACACCAACAATTGCACTCGAGCAATCAAGCCTAAAACTCGAGCAAAATCAAAGTCATCTTCCAACCACCCAAACTGAACACATTTCATCAAAAAAAATGGCAAGCATGCACGAGAATGAATGTTACCGTCACGCATTAAAACCCCCCCAATGAAAGCACCAGTTTCAGCATCAAATATGTAGATTATGCTCTCTCAGCTTTATGCATCAGCTACAGCATAAGCGGAAAGCAATTTCATGACGGAAAATTGAAAGATAACCAATAGACAAAAAGCCAAAAGATGGAAAAAACAATTCGCTCATAAAAATTTTGCCCCTCCTCAGAACCAAAAAGGAAGCCGCAATAGTCTGTGATTATCTTTTAGATCATTTAAATTTTTAAAACTCATGAAGCTTCATACGCGTTCTTCACAGCCAATGCAGCTGCTTTGTACCACGAAGCTGCAGCCATGGCACCTGGGTCAGGTACTGATGCTAGAATATTTGCCGAGACATAGGATGACCTCCCAGCCTGCTAAAAAGCTCGATCATCAGTTAAATGTTTCGATATATGGCAGATAAATGTGTGAAATGAGATAAAACTGGAAGTAGATTAGGGATATAGGATAATAAAGCATAACATGGCCTTAGTTTTTCTAAAAGGAAAAAAAATCTAGTTCATGTTTTATACTTACAATTTAATCAACTTTTAACAGTTTGCATTTTGAAAAATTTTGGGACAACAAGGGATGACCTAGTTTTTTTTAGCAATTAGGCAAAACCTCTTCTGTAATAAGCTTAGAGACTAATGGTATGTTTATATCCAAACTAATGAGTCAACCCAGTGAACTATATTTGTGATTATATTTATTCTTTTTAATTATTTTTCTTTTTTCTCCCTAATCAATAACATGAATCAAAACACGATCAGATGTCAACTCTCATTTTTTTTTTTTACTTTTTTTTTGTGAAGTCAAGAAAACAGGCTTAAACAAATAGAAGAAAAGGAAAATAGGATATAAAAAATATTTAGCAAATGATTATTCTAGGTCAGACTCAAAACCGTCACCTGTGCCTGCATTTTCTTAGTCGACTCAGCACCAGCCACAGCTGCTTCAGCAGAAAGAACAAAAGCCTCAATGGGGTCAACTCCAGCAGCCAATTTCTGTATGTAAAAGCTCATTGTTCAACTTGACATGCTTTTCAATCGTTAATGGAAAAAAAAATATATAAATGATAGCTTATAACCTCTTTAAGGACAGAGGATGCAGGAATAAGAGCATCCAACAACGTGCGGTAACCTTGTTTAGCACCCCCATACCTACTGACTGCAGCAAGGGCAGCCTCAAATGCACCAGCCCCTAAATCAAGAAGTTTGTTTTATAAAAATACCATATATGTATATAAAGTGACCAAAACAAAAAAAATAGAACTGTCACATTTAAACTGTGTTTCATTAGGTCATCTCACATTGTACTGCTGTGATTCCCGAGTCACTATTAGCCTTCAGATCTGCATGCGCTGCCTTAATGAATATGTCGTATCTGTTGCCCGAAAAAAGAAAAAAAAAAAAAAAAAAAAAAAAAAAAAAAAAAAAAAAACATCTAGATAAATTCTTAGGTATAGTGCAGATGTTTAGTTAGGAAGAAAGATACTAAGTTACTAACATGATCCCACTCGTTCCACCCATGCCTTTTCTTATGGAAGTTCCAATTTCACCGACAGTCTGTGCAGGGTCATTCAATGGGTAACTGGAAAGTAGAATTCGTGAGCAAAAACAACAGTGAGAAAAGGTTATTTTTACTATTCCAGTAGGCAATACATACTACTTTTGTGAAGTAAAAGAATGACGTAAATAATAGTACATCAAACAATATCAGACGATTGCACACAATTTAATAGCACTCGAGAAAATGTAAAACTATATGAATGTCAATGGCATTACAACTTCTGTGACTAAACAAGAAATAAAACTAAAACTACAAATTATCATTTTATTTCAAATCATCAAAATGGTTAAGGTGGTTCCATGTATTTGAATGCAACAGAACATTGTCATCTACCAAAGCCGAAGTTCTTAATCAAGCCAAAAGGTAGCTTAAGAACTGGCAGTATAATTACATAATAGAAATATACAAAACAGGAATTAAGAATCAAATAGTATATATTTCCAATTAAAAAGTAGAAAAATGTTCTTAACACACTTGTCAATCACTCATCATAAAGCATGTTTGGTATGAGGGAGGGGGAACCATAAAAAATACTGCTCACCATTTTTTTAAGTCTTCAAGAACAGCAGATGCGCCTTTAAACATCTATGATATCACAAGAAATCAGATCTGTGCTAAGAAGCTAGAAGCACAATATTATTAATCTGGAAACTTACTGTCGATCCACAGTCACCATCACCAACTTTACCGTCCCATTCATTTAAAATGTCCCTGAGATTGATAAGTTCATTTACTGCAGCTTCAATACCCAACTCAAGAATCTGACCTTCACGACTAAGCTGTTCTGGCCGACTTGGTGGCTAACAAAACAGAGAAAGACCAATAAAAATGGTTAGAGTTAGATTATTATTATTATTATTATTATTTTTTTGGTGAAAATAAAATGTTTCAGAATGAAATACAAAACCAACTAGTTTGTGTTTCATTACTAAAGAGTACTACTGTATTTTGCATCAAACTAAGCCTGGAATATCATGAAGCATTTTCTGTGGAAAATCATAAAGCTGATGGTCAAAATATAGCAGTTGTTTTAAAACAATGAGCCATATTCTCGCTTTGGCAGGTTATTATTTGTTGATATTTATCAAAGCTACACACAGATTCAGTGAAAGCTATGCTTCCAAAAGCTATTATATAAAAATATGAAAAAGAAAATGTCATGTAACGGCATCTCACTACCACACAAAAGGTTTATTGAAGTTACATTCAGAACCGGATCAAAATATAAACCATCACAAAGGTCAATGATGAAAAAATGGCACCATTGACAATCTGAGGGGCAGCTAGGACAAATTCAGGAGATAGTAAAATCCACAAAGAGTAAATTCTCTCACGATACCTCATCATTCTTTTTCAAACGACATGGTGGAATTGGAATAGGAATCTTTGCAGGCGGGTGGTCACCTGAGATCAATATTGTTATATCCAATTATAAGGAAAGACATGACTAATTTGCAGACGGAAGAAAAATCTTTATTAATGATATAGTCAAACGACCAGTAGAAGCAAAAAGCTAGAGAAGTAACAAACAAATGTATGAATTGAATATTGATAATAACCATCAGCAGCAACAGGCCAATTCGGAGCCTTAGTTGGGGCATCCATACGCTTCAAAACTGCTTCGTCAGCCTTCATCACACTTATTGAAAATCCTGAAAAGAAAGAAAAAATGAGAAAGGTGTCGTCTCGTAAGAATAAGTTTGACATTGCATGAACAAACCTGCCATATCAAGAGAGGTCATAAATGAACCAGTGTACACTCTCTCAACAGCCAATCCATGTTCCAGCTGCAGTCGAGGAACCGCCTTTCCAGCAGCAATCATCAGTTCCATGAGAGGAGTGGCCCCTAATCTACAAGCAATCAATGGGGTAAAAATCAAAATAAAATATAAAAACATGGGGAAAAAAAACACCAAGAAACAGAAAAGGAACAATAATGTGTGCTGCAGGAAGAACTTTGCAAAAATGAGTTATGATAGCTAAGGACATACCCGTTAATCATAAGTACAACTCTGCTGCCACGAGTTATAGGTACATAATTTGTTTCCTACAATCATGATAACCACACTATGATGCCAGTCTATAATTAAACTGGAAAAAAAGTACAATCACCATAGACAAAGTCACCAAATACTACTGATAAGAATAAGAATGTCGAAAATTCTAAATCCTGATAAGAGAGACAAAGATAGAACTGTTATCACACGCCCAAGATAATAATAATTATAATTATAATAATAATAAATTAATTATTGATATTATTATTAATTACAACATAAGTGCATAAATACACGATATAAAGCATTATTCAGTTATTGCTTATTTTAATCAGCCTCCCTTTTCTGCCGTTATCTTTCTACAATGAACACGTTATAATGCACTACAAGCACGGACTTATATTTTAGCAAAATCGTATTGTTTACATTCTTCACAGGAGGAAAAGAAAAACAAAACAACTTACAAGAGACTACAAATTTATGGCTAAAAAGGCCTTCACTGGCTTCTTACAAGTACACGTCATTTATCATTAAACTTATTAATCAAAGCTAAAGTCTACGAATTAGTGGGTTACCTGTGACAATATTTGCTTCAAGACATGTGAAACCACGATGTCAACAGGTTTGATGTCAGTCACAGCAGCGCCTGGTTCTCCATGCTGATATATCATATACATACAGAAGGTAAAGATCACTCCAACTTGAGGCGGAAGTCATTAAGCAGCAATTGATTATTAAATTCCTTATCTTACAGTTACTGCTGAGATTACTTCACTTGCAATAAAAGATCAAACCCCTATACTTCCACAGAGAACATTTTTTCAACAAACAAAGACCTACTGGGAACTTAAAAGTGTTCAGAAACACAACTTTTAAGTCCAATTCTCAAAACCGCATTCAATATTTTAAAAATAGAACATGTCTAAATAAATCTTAACTGGTTTAATTTAAATCAATACAACCATAACTCACAATTCCAAGGCCAAGCTCCATCTTGCCAGGGCCTAGACGATCTGAAGGCACCTGACCAGGGACCGAGCAAACTGACAGTGCAACGCCCATTGTGCCTACCATTTCTGATGCTCGTTTAGCTTCAGCAGCAACTTCTTCTAAAGGGAGGCCGGCAGCAGCTGCAGCCCCAGCAACCTGTGGTTCCCAATAAGACTTCATATCAAAACCCAAGCAAAAATGTAAATAAATTTGCAGCGGGCATGAACCAACGTGGCCATCATAAATTAGAATTTAAAAATTAAAAAAAAAAAAAAAACTAAAAAATGAAAGACCTCAGNAAAAAAAAAAAAGGTACATAAAGAGAGCCATGTAAGTCAGATGCTAGTACATGAAGGATATTTCAAACAGCTCATGACATCGCACCAATTGACAGGCAAACAATGTCCATTCTGAAATTTTTATTTAATAGCTTCGTTTACATTTATATTTAACAATTGTATATAATTTGCATAATTTATGTTACTCGTTAGCGAATATAGGTATATAATGATGCCACTAAAAGTAACTAAGAACCCTTAGTTCAACTACTTTACATACTCTTCATTAGGATTGCGCTCCCTGAAGTCTCGATTACATTAAACCAACAGGAGAAGATACATGATTCACTTCCACATAATGTAAAATTTTCCTTAAAGCGTAATGACAATATCAAGAAAAAGTCAAGTTGTTGTGATAGTGAAGAAAAAATAAACCTTAATTACTGCTTCCATAACATATGGATGCAGACACTTCTGGTTATAGCAAAAATCTTAATGCAATAGAAGAGAGAGCATAGCTATATAATGGTGGAAAAGTCAAAAGAAGTCAATCAGGAATTCAGGATGAAGCCACTGTAAACAGGACCTCTTCTCTTAGGTTAAACAACCGAATCTCGTAGTAGGCGATGTAAGGATCGATACATACAATAACGTTTTATTTGATTGATAATCAAATAAGGCAGACGCTATTTTAGCCAACAGTGAAATAGTTCAAGGTACAAATTGCAATTGACACTACTCACAAGATTCAGAAGCACAAGAACAATTGAGGGAAGAGATTATATCAACCTTATGAACAAGAATGGTTCCAGCCAAACCTCTTCGTCCAGCTATACCTCTTGGAGGTGGTAGAGCACAGTCATCACCAACAATCACCATCTGTGAACAGAAACCCTCATACTCGCATGACACTGAATTTTTAAATTTGAGATTAAGCTATTCATCTAAATAAAAAAAAAAAAAAGCATACCTCCACTTTATAACCTTCAGATTTAGCCAGCTCAGCTGCCAAACCGAAATTTAAGCGGTCGCCTGTGTAATTCTGTCACAAAGCAAGACAAGGTATCGCAAGAAATTCACTAGCAAATTTTGTAATACTTAATAGCAGACATTTACACAGTACAAGAAGAACGGTACCCTAAATCCTGAAAGTAGTATCTATATGTGCCTGGCCTCACACAAGTTCACAGACTTAAAATGATATCAAAAAATATTAACTCATACATAAACTTATCGCATAGTGCTAATAATGGACTAGATCAAAATGGCTCAATTAAATTCTAGTGCTTCTTCTATTAGTGAAGTTTCTAGAAAAAAAAATATACCAAACGGCACAATGCACCTTGGGTCGCTACGGAAACAACCTCCTTGTATAATTACAAGGGTAAGGTCTGCGTACAACTGACCCCCCAGACCCCAACATGTTGGGAATATACTGATATTGGGTATGTTGTTGTTGTTGTTGTTGCTGTTGTTGTATACATAAACTTATCGCATATCCTTACAAAATAATAAATAAATAAAAAATAGAAAGAAGAAGAAAGAACATGGACATGTAGTTTGGCCAACTGGAAAATGACCTGATCGGGACTAAGTTTTCCCTCACACCGGCCAGCATGGCCTCATCGGCTAAGCCGGATTAACATTAGAAGTAAGAAACACAGCTTGAAATATAAATATTCAAGTAAGCTTGATGATTGTAACATTGTAGGCAAAGCAAGAGAATAAAATAAGTACATCATAACAACAAATTTACTCATATGAAAGGTGAAATCAATTCATCAAAATCACAGTTGAATATACCTTGACAATCAGCAGGCACCCTGAAGGACCAGTAACGGCTCGTATACCCTGACACATAAATTTAGCAAATGATCATCTAAAGGAAGATCAAAAAAAGAAAAAAAAAGTGGTACTGTTGTTGATTTATATTAAGGAGAAGTTCACATACTGCAAGAATGGAGTCAACGGGAGGAGAGGCAAAAATATCACCACATATTGCTGCTGTCAGCATTCCTTCTCCAACAAATCCAGCATGAGCCGGCTCATGGCCACTTCCCCCTCCTGCATGTTAAGAAAGCTACGGAATGTATTCAATAGTAACATTTTTACATAAAAGCTAAACTTGGTCTTTAGCTATATCAGGAGAATATAAGCCAGTGGAGCCGAGAGATAAAATGTTTAACATCTTCGACTATCAATCTGAAGTTCACTTTAAGATTATAACGTCTGAGATATACTTAAGTACCAAAATTCAGGACTGACAATTATATATCCTTTAATGCTGTTTGGAAAACTGAGTTCAAAGATTTTAAGATAAGATTAAATTAGATTACACGATTAATAGAAAGAAAACGACAACTTTATATGCATACTGCATTGACTCATGCAGCATCTGATAATAATAACCACATGTTTTTATACACATACTAAAACGGCCGAAAAGGGGACGCAAGTATGGCCCACATCATCTGCAACGTGTAATGTTATTAATCGAGCACAAAATAGAAAACACTTAACATCAGTTTATGACGTCTCAGACCTGATATAACGGCCACTTTGTCATATGTGCCACCAGAAACATCAGCAAGTAAAACAACTTTTACCTACATTCAAAGGCCATGCATTAGATGGAGACAAAGTGCGTTAAACGACAAAGGTTTAAGCTCAACAAAGGCTAAAAAAAAATTGTTCATATAATTATTACATCAGGAAAGCCATCCAAATACTGCAAACCAGGGTAGGTTTCCACTAGCCCTTCAATGAACTCTGTTACAACATCTGTAACCAAAAAAGGACACAAATCTAATCCAGCACTCATACATATATGTAAAGCAGCGCATATAATTTGGAATTTTTTTAATAACATGCAGATCTCATGATTATGCCCAGTGATGGTGCAAAACATAAAATCTTATATGTGCATGCATTTCAAATAGTCCCATCCCATAATTGGGAAATAAACAGAGAAGTTATGATTATCTACAGAAATAGCCTATTGCTTGGCTGCCGTTATCATCCTCATACAGCATCATATATCTCTTAATATCAAAATGCAGGACTCTTAAAGGAGAAGTTACTCAGTTCAACAACATGGTACAACTCTTACAGCACAATGTACACCCCTTACACAACAAACGTACAGCATATCATTCATTCACCAAAACGTTGGCAACTCTCTACAGTTAATCTCTAATTTGAAATTAAAACCATTAAAAAGTAAAGAAAGAAAAAAGATTAATAAAGAAAGAAGGAAAGAAATTAAAAGAAATACACACACCACGCTGAACCCATTGCGATTTTCGTACAGAAAACACAAGGTAGAGCAAAATCTACATATTCTCCTTTGCATGATAAACTGAGGAGAAAAAAAAATGGCGGAATACTCCATAACTAATGCATGGGCAAACTCCCAAAGCTTCCACCAAAAAATGCTCTACCCAAGAAACACACGAAAAAAAATAACATAAATACAAATAAAAATGTGGAAAATTTCAGCAACAGATCAAGAAAACAAAATGTAGAAGAAGAAATGGATGGAAAAACAAAAAATCAAAAACTAAAAAATAGAGCCAAAAAGAAACAACAGTTGAGAGTGAGGAATAATTGTAACCGTTTGGGTTGTTAATGAGCTTCTTGCTCTGATAATTCATGACGCAAAATGCGAGTGAAGCTCGAGTGATCCCAAATGCTTCGGATTAGAAAAACCCCTTTTTGGTGAGAGAAATTTTGATGAGGGTTGGGAAATTTTGGAGAAAAATGGCTTCTATATAAAGTCACCTGAAGTGTTGAATAATTGTTGATTAATCTTAGCTTGCTTGTCCGGACAAGAATATATATTTCAATAAATAAATCTGCCAAATAGAACAGATAAAATTGAAAATTTCACAACTCACCAATCAATATTTGTAGAGTATAGTTTAGAAAAAGAAAATTATTATACATTTCATCAAAGTTAGGAAAAAAAATCATATAATATTACTTAAATGGGTAGATGAATATATGTAAATATATTTATGTCAACTGGAAAATATAAATAGTTAATTTAATCATCGTAAATTTTGAGTCAGGTTATTGAAAAGGTGATATAATCATAAACATGATGAATTTCGAGTCAAAACACTTAAATTTAGTACGCATAGCCGATTATAGAGTATTAAATTAGGTTGTACATAAGTTTATAAACTTATTAATTATCCGTATTGTATTAATGAAGTTCGAGATAGGTATCGTGTTATTGGATTATATTATTTACATCTACAACGACTTTTTAAAAATGTGCTTTTTTAGACCTGCAACACATACTATAATCTCGTAATTTGTATGAGTCAATAAAATTGGTAATCGAACTATTAAATAATCTACGTAACAAAAAATATATATAATTTTCCCATATTTTATTTTTATACAGTTTAATAGAATGATTAGCATCACTTTTATTTTGTTTTTAAATGCATCCAAACTATAATATTCATGGTTGGATACAAATTCAACCCAAAAAATCCAATCATTTTTAATTCAATTATTTTTTTTTAACTCAACCCCACTCTCATCAATATTATCAATATAATTAAATTATATCAATCAATCATTTTTACACACAACATCAATTTTAATTCACATCTTCTTAAACCAACTTATACTAAAAATCCAATCAAAATAAAAACTTTTTATATCCAAACATGAATGACCGATCTATTAGATGGTGCTTGCAAGTTGGAAGTAACTTCTTCAAAACAATAAATGGTGATTATTGCCTCACAAAATTTATTTGATATTTCTTTTTATATTAAAGCTTCTAATATTCAAANAAAATTATAATGGATTAAAGGCTAGAACAATTTAACATCAGCCTTACGCATTTCACCTTCTTTATACATCATGTTGTACTTTACATTTTTTTAACTCGAATAGGAATTCATCTTTCACACTCACCCATTAATTAATTACTAAAAGATGTGCATATATTGGCATAAACACATAAATACACCAGCTAAGCGCAAAACTTGAACAAAACCAATTGTGCAGCTATATTCTAACTCAATGCTTAAATTTTACTGCCCAACTGTTCAACCTCATATATATTTTGTCTTCAAGCACCGAAATTATATAACATAAACTTATATTTTGGCTGTTAATAAGTTGGGTAAGCATTTAGTTAGTTACTAGTTAGCATAACTGCTCTATATCAATTTCATTATACTACTAATGTCGTAATGCACAACCCTTGCACGTACGGCCTAATAATAAAAATAATATGAATAAATTATAATTTAATAAATAATTATTTTAGAAAACATCTATTGAGATAATATAGAATAAAATTTTTATTAATACATTTAAAATACTTCCATAAATATAACATTAATAGTAGATAAAGTGTGTTCATTATCACCAATAATAATAACCATAATTCCACAAGATGGATTCGCGACTCTAGATTCTAGAAACAGTAACAATATATAATTGTATGTTACTTAAAAAAACACAATATATTTTTTTCTTAAAATTTTTAAAATTAAGCTGACAAAAATATATAATATACTATGAAAAATTTATTCGTCGCATTAATGACACTCCTTCAATATATGTCATAAAAATGTCTACGTGATAACATAATTTTTATAGTTTCTAAAAGAATAAAGTCATAATTACTATTCTACTAATAAACTAATATATGAATGACTAAAGTTAACATGTACGAAGATGAGCAACTTAAATTTTAAAAATATAAATTAAATATTTAAGAAAAAATACAAAAGGACTCAATTTCTATCCGCATGTATTTGATTTTAAATTAGGTTCGCATATTTTTTTCTTTATTATTAACAAAATACATATCAACATTTCATTTTTATTTTTTTTTTGTGAAATAAATGTGATGGAGATTAGAGAATGCCGTGAAAGATTGATTATTTTTCGTAAAGTTATAAATAGACTCACTAATCATTATTGTTCAAGTCAATATTAAAATACTTATTTTTGTATGAAATCCATGAGATTTGTTAGTCGATGTAATATTGAAATACTTATTCTTGCATAAAATCAATGAGAAATTATAATTCAATGTAATTTTTATAAATGCACATTGACAAAATTTTTGTAAAGTAATACCAAAAAGACATGTAATTATATTATATAAAATCTAAAAAAAAAAATAAAATTAACATTATGATATATGATAAGAAAAAATTAGTTGCTGCATTATAATATTGTTACATGAACAAAAATTAAACGATAACATTATGTTATTTTTATTTATAAATTTTTAGCTGCATACTATTTTTCTCTTGCATGAAATCCATGAGAATTGTAATTCAATGCAATATCTGCCTCAACACATGTGTTGGACTATCCCATATACAGAGATGTCTTAGACTGGGCTTGCACCTAGACCACAACTCTAATGGTGTAATTGGCAATGATTTAGATGGTACCTTGTTTAGAATGTACACTGTTGTTTCTTGGTCGTATCCCAAAAATGAATCTGGTAAGGTACTGTAACCCATCATTGCCCTAACTGTTTCCATAAGAGTCTTATTCATTCGTTCTACCACATAGTTCTATTGTGTACCCGACGCGGTTAGCTGGGATTGAATCCCATTCTCCAACAAGTAGTTCATAAACTCCCCCGAGAGATATTCGCCACTACGATCTGATCATAATGACTAGATACTTTTACCTATTTGCTTCTCTACAATTGCTTTATACTCCAAAAACTTCTCAAAGTATTCAGACTTGTGGCGCAACAGGTAAACGTACCCATATCTCGAGTAATCATCGATAAATGTAACGAAGCACTTAAATCCTCCCCTCGCTTAGATTGACATAGGACCACATACATCAGAGTGAACGAGTTCTAATAAATCTTCGGCTCTATGCCCCTTTGCCTTAAAAGTTCTCTTAGTCGTTTTCCCTTCTAGGCAGGACTCAAAGGTTGGAAAAGCCTCGACTTCTAATGACCCCAAGGGCTCGTGTGCCACTAACCTTTGAATCCTCCTTAGGTTTATATGAACAAGTCTTAGATGCCAAAGATATGTTTCGTTCATACTAGAAGGTTACTTTTTCTTATTCTGATTAGATGATGAATTAAGTAATTGTTTGTGTTGCAGTGAGAGAGACTTTAGTTCTAGAATGTACAAATTGCCTACAAATGATCCATCACAAATAAACTTTTTCCCAAAATGAATAACAACTGTATTATCAAAAGAAGCAGAAAATCTACTTTTAAACAACTTAGAAATTGAATTTATTTTCTTTTTAAAACTAGGAACATAAATACAATCTTTCAAAACCAAAACCGTAATCCAAAGCTTAAATAGACGTCTCCCACTGCAACAGGCGACGCTCTGCTAGCATTGCTCATGTAGAAGGTAACTTCTTCTTCCCTAAGCCGCTTGGTTTCCTGCAACCCCTGTAATAAATTGTAGACATGATCAGTGGCTTCTATATGTACGCACCAAGTATTGGTAGATAACACCGCTAAACATGTTTCAACGACTAATGAAAACGATTTACCTTCGTCGAACTTTTTGAGAAGAGGGCAGTTGGTCTTCCAGTGTCCTTGCTGCTGGCACTTATGGCATTTTGCCTTTCGACTTCTTTGCTACTAACTGAGATGGTCGGGGAGTGACCATAGTTGCCTTTGTTTTTGCCTTTCTTGCAGACTTCCTCCTTTTCTTACCCTTATTGGGCCTAGAAGAAGAAGGCTCAGCTTGCTCGGCTACGAACACCTGAGTATTTTGACGAAATAGACCCTCTGCTGACTAAAGTTTTGCCATTAGCTCTGGTAGAGACAAACAACGTCTTGTTCATGTTGTAGTTCATCTGGAACTGATAGAAACTATTCGGCATATATTGGAGCACTATATCGACAAGAGTTTTCCCATCAATAAAAGCTCCAAGAACCTCCAGCTCATTGAGTTGGGCCATGATCACGAGAATATGTTCCATTACGGAAGTACTATCACGCATGTGCGTGTTTATTATAATTCTCATGGCCTCTTGTCGGGCAGCCCGTGACTGGTGACCAAACAGATCCTTGATGTTTAGGAGTATGTCTGCTGCGGTAAGCATAGACTGATGTTGATGTTGAAGTACATTTGATATAGATGCTAGAATGTAATATTTCGTCATCTCATCGGCCTTCTTCCACTTAGCATACTTATTCTTCCCTTGGTATGTTGCTGCCTGATTGGACACATTCACACAAGACTCAGTAAGAACATATTTATACTCCTCAGCAGTTAACACTATATCCAAGTTCCTTTCCCAATCAATGTAGTTGGGACCAGTATGTTTGTTTTCTTTGAGAATTATGGATAATGGATTGAAAGACATTTTTAATTCCTAAGATTAGTCAAGTATAGAATTTAATTCTTAAATATTGATCCCTTAAAGCAATATTTTATTAACGTCACTGGCACCTCTAAACACTGAATCCCTATAGGCCACTGTGGTGTGGACGTCTACGGTTCATACCGCCGTAAAAAAGGGTTTTATCCCATTAATTAATATGTCGACAAATCAACACTTTAATTAATAGTCGCTCCACATTTGGCCCATACAGAATAAGAATAAAACTTTCTTTTGAGAAATCATAATTATTTGTACTTTAAGTGTAACCCATTACTTGGTACCAAGTTTACTACCAAAATTGCACGTCCACCTTTGGGTGATCCTTACGCTTTTGAAATAGCTTACTATAACCATCTTGTAGGAAATTCATCCTTGTAAACTGTGATAAAAATTGTCCTTTGGGAGGAAGGCTCTAATTCCAACACGCAATTTAAAATTACACAACTGAC